TCCTTCCATTGTTTCAAGCACCTTTGTACATTTGTTGCCCTCATTATTCTCAAAACATTTGCTCTCCACTTAAGCCCCTGGTATCAGCTCCTCATTTTCCCCCTCCCTCACGCTCCCCCCTTCCTCATGAACCCTTGATAATTTATAAATTATTATTTTGTCATATCTTACACTGTCTGGCGTCTCCCTTCACCCACTTTTCTGTTGTCCATCCCCCAGGGAGGAAGTTATACGTAGAGCCTTGTAATTGGCTCCCCCTTTCTTCTCCACCCTCCCAGTATCACCACTCTCACCACTGGTCCTGAAGGGATCATCTGCCCTGGATTCCCTGAGTTTCCAGTTCCTATCTGTACCAGTGTACATCCTCTGGTCTAGCCAGATTTGGAAGGTAGAATTGGGATTATGGTAGTGGGTGGGGAGGAAGCATTTAGGAACTAGAGGAAAGTTATATGTTTCATCATTGCTACACTGCACCCTGACTTGCCGTCTCCTCCCCGTGACCCTTCTGTAGGAGACGTCCATGCTGTCGGTGGACGTGGACAGCATGCACCAACAGCATGCACCGCTTTTCCATTGAGCACCTGGGACACAGTCTGCTTCAGGGTGCCGGGCCCCTTCCTGAACCTACTTCCCACAGGGCACACTGCTCTTACCTGTGACACACTGGGCCTTCTTTGACCGCTCGGGGACCACAGGAAGTCACTGGGCAACTGGGCTGCGAGGGGCTTCCACTGTGGCCAGGAGAAGTTTGTCCCGAGGCCACCGTGAGCCCAGCTGACTCAGCCCTGTCCCCCCTCCTCAGGCCATGCTCTGACCTGTTTGGCTGCTTAAGCCTGAGGCCCGTTGGGGGCACCCCAACTTGTGGGAAACAGAAAGAATTCTCCCAAGTCATCTCCCCCAGATATGTTAGACTTAGGACACTGCTTGCAGCTAATGGTAAAAGTTACTTCCCTTGAGGCAATCGGCCGCCAGACTGCTGTCTCACCCCATCAAGGCTGGGCCTGCTCCCTGCTGCCGGGGACAATGGGCTAGTTCTCCCAGAGGCTTGCAACCATTAGCTTGGTTCCTGTAGGTGGAGTTCACACCCTCTGGTAATGGTCTCTATCAGTTGAGCCAGGGAACAGGTCAAACCGGCTCAGTGACATCCAAAGTTAGGCTGCCATCCTGTATCTAGGATCCGCCCTTCTTGCCACATGTATACCTACAATCCCTCCTCTTCCTATTGTGTGGATACCCCTGGATCACCCCTCCCATTACTGCATTACCTATAGCACAACCCCTTCCTGTGATGTGTGTCTTCACCTGTAACTAGGGGGCTTGCATGTCCCCAGAGAATATAAAAGCCTTGGTTAGCATTAGATATCACTCTCTCCACGTGGACCACCAAGCGGGGCTCAGGGAGCACTGCTACCATGAATTGTGTCTGACTCCGTTAGTTCTCTCTTCTATCTCTCATGCTCTCTGTGACTTTACTTAGTATCGCTGTACAATTGTGCCTACCGGACCCGTGATGATATGTTAGGGGCAGGTACCCTGGCACCAACTGAGAGGGGAGGCCCCCCGGCCCCATGCCCAACATCCCATGGGGACCCAGCCGGCCAGACTTGCAGAATATCCCACATGGCTCTGCTCAGTGAAATAGAGGCGGTGTCTCTGGGTCCCTGACTGTCCCAGAGTGTCCTGTGGTCTCAGAGTCCCAGGACGAGGTCATGGTGACCAGAACCGGTGCCTTGGGAATCTCGCTCCCTCCTCCTCCTGCTGGACCCCAGGGGCCTGCCCAAGCCTGTGTCCTCCTACATAAGCCCTGTGGTCTGAGGGCTGGGCCATGGCAGCCCCTCTCCCTGCCTCGAACTAGGGACTCTCCCTGGTGCCACAAGTCTGTCCTTGGGCCATGGCCGCCCAGTGGGGACAAGTCTAGGAGGCTGAGGACTGCCCACATCTGCTGTGCTTATGTCCCCCCACTGGCTTCTAGAGCCTTCTCTCTGGCCTGGTCCCACACCACGTCTGGTCTCTGGTCCGCAGCTGAGCTGTGGCCAGGAAGACGCCCGGTGGCTCCCGTGTGGAAGAAGGCTGGCCAGGCCATTCGTCAGAGTGAACCTGAGTTTAGAAGCTGTGTTGAAACCTGACCGCCTCGCTACGTGGAGCAGTAACGGCGGAGCCCCCAGCATCGGGGCAGTATTACCCACACGCCAGCCGGCCTGTAAGCCAGGATATTCCTGTTTGTGGTGAGGGATAGGGGCACCTTGACATGAGTAGCACTGGCCAGCCCCTTCCTGTTCCCCACTGGATCAGCCGGCTACTGCTCAGCGCTCAGACAGCAGCCCCTCTCGGCCAGACGTAGACCTCACAACTGACCTGCGGTCACCCAGCAGGTCTGACCGTGCGGAGAGGGACTGCCCTGTGGGCTAAGATGGTAAATCTGTATGGAAGCGGCCAGACGCTGTTTCCCCAGTGCATCGGGCGGTAGACTTGAACTGTTGACGCTGGGATGAGTAGCCGGATGCCTGACCCTGCAGTAGATAAGGGGCTGTCCATTCAGGAGCTGCAGTTCCAAGGGCGACGCCAGGTGGCACCCGCCCCACCGGCTCCTCCCAGGGCGGTTTCCTTGGGGGACTGCTGTTTTCTCTGCATTGTATCGCAGGGACACTCACCAGACTTGCACCTCCACTCCCCACCCCCGCCCTGACCCAGGCTTCCTGGCCAGCGTCCAGCTAAGCTGTTCAGTTGACCCATCTTATTCAGCTCACTGCCCTCAAGTCAAGGAAGACTCATAGGGCAGGACAGACCCTGGAGGGCAGGTTGAACTGTCCCTGTGCCTTTCTGAGGTGAACCCTTTATGGGAGCAGAAAGCCTCCTCTTGTCTCCTGAGAAGTGGGCAGTGGTTTTGAACTGTGTACCTTGTAGTTAGCACCCAGCCCGTACCCACCTGCCACCAGGTGGACTGCTTATAGCTGGGAGGGGGGGGGGTCTTGTCCAGCAAGCAGAGATGCAGTGGGTGTAGGGGTGGGTGTCTACCAGGCCTTCCGGCAACGCCCACATTTGGAAGGCAGGGTCCAATGACCGGCTCCCCAGGAGTGACGAGCAGAAGGCAGGCTTCTGACACCAGTCTGCGAGTTTGCTTCCCATCTAACTCTCATGCAAGCTGTGCATTAGTTGTGATTTGAGCCAAAGTTGTTTTGGGGTTTTTTTTGTATTTAATTTTTGAGTCAAAGTTTATAGCAAGTTGGTTTGTAACAATTCACGTTTTGTTACTGCTTTGTTGCTGCTTGGATCACAGCCCGCAGTGTAGAACAGCCCCCGGTTCAGTTTCTCTCCATCCTTCCTTCCTCCCTCTTCTCCCCTCCTGAGCTCTACACCAAAACCAAACTTGGGGTCCCCTCACCATGGAGTTGGTGCCAGCACACAGCGCCCCTGTGGGTCCGCTCACCATGGAGTCAGTGAGACTCAGAGGCCCCTATAGGTTTCCAAAACTGTTCATGGGAGTAGAAAGTCCCACCTTTCTCCCGAGTTGCTGGTGGTTTTGAACTGGTGACCTTGCAGATTGCAGCCCAATGTAGCCACTGTGCCACTTTGGAGGCCCATCCCTGGGAAGATGCTGCCCTTTTGAGTGTCTGTGGCCTCTATTGTTACCGTGACCCTTGTATATCTATTGTTTGGCTGAAAGTTGAGTCGGGGTGTGAGGGGAATTCAGGTCCAGGCGTGAGAGGCATTGAAGGGTCATAGTAGTCCTTCTCTGGGGCCGTGAGCAGCCCAGTCTTTTTTTTTTTTTTAAATCATTTTATTAGGGGCTCATACAACTCTTATCACAATCCATACACACATCAATTGTGTAAAGCGCATTTGTACATTCATTGCCCTCGTCATTCTCAAAACATCAGCCCAGTCTTCATGCTGAGTTTCGTTTTCATGTCTGCCCAGGTTCTCCAACGCGCCCAGTTCAGATAGAGCTTCACAGAGCAGAATGTCCCAGGCAGACAACCTTTTTCCACTCGTTAGGCAGATTTGTTTGGTTAGGGCACCAGGTGAGTTTTTGGTTTAAAATCGGAAGGTTGTTAAAAAAAAAAAAAAAAAAAGGAAGGTTGTTGAGTAAGTTTTAGGGGTCCATCCACCCCCCACGACTTGATCAGTGCAGCACGGGCATATGGAGTGCCAGTATGTGAAGTTCCCCCTGACTGGGGTGCTGACGTGGGATCTCCTGGCCGCCTGCTACACACCTGTAGGACTCTGGCATCAATGTTTTCTACACCGCTGCCCACCCAGCACGAGCAGGCTTGAAGATGTGGCCCCGAGGTACTAACAGGCTGTCAGCAAAGGCTGTCCCCCCACCCCCCAAAAAAGACCAGTCTGCTTAGCAGTCCCCGAGTCAAATGCAGGCCACAGCCCCCTCTAGGCAAGCCTAGCTGGTGGCTCTGGGCAGCACTCACTGGCAGAGGTGTGACATTTATTCTGCCAGATGCCAGGACAAATGGGCACGGCTTCAAGTACTTTGTCCTCCCAGGAGTCTCCAAGCCCAACATTCCTTTCTCGGGCAGCACAGGGCTGAAGCTAAGCAAGAGGGGGTGTGGCCACAGGAAAGGGGAAGCTCCCCTCCCTGAGGGTCTGCATAGCTGCAAGTCGGACACCAGAGACAAGTTGCTGGCCCAGGACCGGCAGCTCTGCTCTGCAGGGATTGGTGGACCAGCAGCCCTGCTTTCTCCCACCCCCTGTAGTAGCCCTGCTTCTGGGCATGGCTGCTCTGCATGCTTGAGTCCAGGTTGAGCAGGAGAAGGGACCTGAGTGACTGAGGCCCCACCCCAGGGGACCTCAGAGGGACCTGGCTCGAGGGAAGGCAGGGGACTGGGAATGCCCAGCCTTTGGGGCAGTAGGGGAGGTGATTCCAGAGACTTCAGGAGGCCCAAGCCCAGGCGTGGTGTCCTCAATGTCCCCCGTGCCCCTCCTCCTCCCCTAGAAACGATCACTGGCTAAGTCACACCCAGGAAAGCAGTTCAGGAGCCAGCTCGTTTTCTGAAACGTACATTTAATCCACCCTCCTGCCCATACCAGTCTGCGGCCCTCGGCGTGTGCAGAGCCCGGCCGCCCTAGGCCCTGGCGACCAGGTCCCTCACAGCTTGAGCGATGGCGTCTCTGTCAATGCCAAACATCTTCAGCAGCTCCATCGGCTTCCCGCTTCTGGGGACCTTGCTGACAGCCAGGCAGGTGATAGCAACACCAGGCTCGCCCACGATGGCGGAGCTCACCGCCTCCCCTATGCCACCTGGGCAAGCGAAGGGGGCGGTCAGGCACAGGGTTCTGGGGAGGAAAGCCCTGCCCCAGGCTGTGGCCCGCCACTAGTCTCTGCGTTTATTCCCCACACACAGGCAGAGCAGACATCACTCATCAATCACAGCACCCGAGAACTACTGTAACTAGTGGGGAGGGAGGAGTCTCAGGGGCAGATCTGGGCAACCCTGTGCGGTGGACTTGACCCCAGTCCCGCTCATCGCTCCTCCTCCGGGACCTCCCAGGAGGGCCAAGTGTTTGGGAAGGCCTGTGCACTACGGCACAACAGCCTTCACTGGTGCCAGGGATGTGCCGTGCCCTCCTCCTCTAGCTTGGGGCCTCGCCAAAGCTGGCAGCAGCTGTCTCGGCCACAGCTACCCTTGTAGGCTCCGATCACGGGAGCCATGTCCAGCCTGGGCCCTGCCCAGCCCATCCCCCAGCCCTGTCACCTTCGTGGTAATGGTCCTCCACCGTGAGGACCCTGCCTTTGGTGGCCCGGACACTCTCCAGGATGAGCTTCACGTCCAGGGGCTTGATGGTGAAGGGGTCTAACACCCGGATACTGATCTTCTCTGTGGGGGAGAAGCATTGGGGGAAGGAGGTTAGGTGGCCCTCTGCCTGGGACCCCGGCCCCTTTCCTGGTCCTGCCCGATCCAAGAGGAGCGGAGAGGCCTGGTGTCAGAGAAGACTGAGCCCCCCACCCCTTCCTCTGGGCAGGCATGTGCCGTCCTGGTGGGCAGCTAGGCAGCCACTGCCTGCCAGGGGATTGTGGGAGCAATCTGTGCGCACTCCTGTCAGAAAGGCCGGGGCTGTCGTGAGTGAAGGGGGCTCTGGGCCCAGGTCCGCACCCCAACAATTCTGACTCGGACGACGTGCTTGGCTCAAGACCCCCATCCACCCCGTCCCCTGCAGGAGATCCATGGGGCCCCAGGCCTCACCCCACTTCCACAGACGGATGTCCCCACTGCTCCAACCCACCAGCCCCTCAGCAGGCCTGCCCCCACCTCGGTTTACGATCGATCACGCTGA